TGACTGCCTGTGGTTCATGAGCTGATTGTTTCCAGGACCGTGCTTTTGTCATCTCTCTCCCTCTCTGTGACTCTCCACACTCCTCTTTGGCCAATTCAAATCCCTCACCGCTAAATTCCACACGATCCAGAATCTTATTGCTGCCTCACCTCACGGCTTCTGTAAATGAAACCTCATCACAGCCAATCCTCAGATTCCCCCACTGGCTCCCAATCCGGTCCCCAATCGACTGAGACATCGCAACCTCCACCTACACGATCCTCCATAGACTCTCCACCACCTCTTGTCCCTCTGTTCAAGGCGTCCCCAATATACGTCGGGGTTAGGGACTGAAAAGTTGTGACTTCATGAAACAATGTATAGTGGGGAATTTAACCCCATCAGAATACTACTCCGTGTTAATGGAGGGGCGATAGGGACCGTAAGAGCGTAAACATTGCCTATGTGATGCAAAGTGAGGCAGTTTCTCCCATAAGAAAAAATGGAATAAGGTAGGGATAGGGACTGTACCTTAGGGAAATGTGTTGTGTTTCATACCTAGCAACCAAAATACGTACTTTACATGTAGACAACTAGGTACTATATGTGTATAGAACTTTACAACACAATGTACACACATTTATAACAAATTATGAGTTAAAGAACCGTTAAACAGCATTTTAACTTATACAACACTTTATTTAAAAACAACTTTATTAGCATTTCGAATGCAGCCCTCTGCACTTTAAACTTTTCTTAACAGAAAAACTAATTTGTGCCATTTTTAAGCAAAGACTCAAGCAGAAACATTTTAAGTGGGGAAAAAAGCACCAAATCTTGCACAGCATTAAAAAAAATGGTACCTTAACCTACACTGTTTATGATCTTAGCCTGAGTAGTGGATGAGATTTGTTGAAGGGTTGCGCCAATTACAACGAGCACTCGTAGCGACGCATGCCACGATAACGATGGCACTTAAGGTGGCGGTGTATAAGTGAGTTGTACAGTACCTCTACACTCAGAAGTGAGTTCAGCTGAGCCAAGTTGAAATCGATTATTCAAAATCGATAATCGTCACCGGTGTTGGCCGTGAGCGGGAATTGAAGTCGGGTCGCTGGGCTCGTAGCACTAACCGCCACGTGCTAACCGCTGTGCACCCACCTTGGCTCGGCTGAACTGAGTTAAAACGACATCACGACGTGTATATATACGTTTGTGTGTGTGTGTGCGGGGAAATGTTACGTTGTGTTCCTCAAAATGTCAGCGACGTTAGTGCGAAACAAGGAATGGGTGTGTGTGTATATCTAGACGATGAACATCAGGGAGCCCCTGTCCTCCACACCACGTGCTCTCCAGTCCAGCAACCAAGGTCTTCTGTCAAAACCCTCAGTCAACCCCTCAATGTCTGTACAATTGTAGACGTGGGGGAAATAAGTACGATTCTACACGTGGGAGGTAACTGGAGTTACCTTCAAAAGTTCACGCAGATGGGAGTCAGTCCCACTTGCCCCACTGCCTTTTCCTGGCCACTTCATAGCCCAGTGGGTTCAGGGGAGTCTCACAAATCTGTGATTCGTGAATCTTCAACTCCATAGCGCCCTGTCGCTCTCACCGCAGATTCCCCCTGCTCTCGTCCAGACTCCAGAAGTTCCCTCCTTTCTCTCTGTTTGTGTCTCTGCCCTGTGTCTCTCCCCTGTCCTCACCTGGGCTGCACCACTGCTGTATTCCTTCTCTCCTGAGCTCCATGCAGATTTTCTACATCCCTTCCTGCTCTACTGAATGTCAGCATTTTGTCTGTGTGAACCTGAGTGAATGTGCGAGTTGTGTGTGTGTGTGTGTACAAGTGTGAGCGAGAGGAGGGGGTGGTAGTGGAGTGGTTGTGGTGCAGTCTGACTTGGGTGTGGTTTGAAGGGACCAGAATCGGTGCATTCGTCGTAAATGCAATGCACCGGTCTGACTCAAAGGGTTCCTGCACTGGGAATGTTTTACACATTTTGTCACGAATTATTCTTGTACATGCCTTAAACTTGCCACGAAGTAATACATATATTAAATAATAATAGAATACGATGTTTCGATTGCAACAAGCAACCATCATCAGGTACAAATGAATGAGAAAACAAACATAGTAAACTTGGAAATATAATGCAATACAACACATAAGTCGGCCAACAAAACAGTCAACACCCCACCTGGTTGATTACGTTCTACCATTGCATTATATTGTATTGCATTATATTTACAAGTTTACTATGTTTTTTTCAGTCATTTGTACCTGATGATGGTTGCTTGTGTTGCAATCGAAACGTCGTATTTTATTATTATTTAATTTATTTCTACGTGACTTTACCGAAAGAACCAAATAGTTATTCCTGCAGTCACGAAAGCTTCGAATCTAGTTTGATACATATATGTACATTGTATTTTTACTACTGGTAAACGATCTCGCTGACCCATGCTGTGTTTATGACAGTTGGGAAGTGGGAAGTATGGGTAGAGAGGAGTGGTTCCTAACCTCTGGATCGCAGTCCATGGCAATCCATAAGGCCATGGGAATTGCTCTGCAGAACGGTTGAAGACACCACGATGTCACTCACAAAGTTATAATTTTGTTACTGCAAGTTCTTCCCACGTGTAGAGGGTTGACAGTGAACGTGGGTCTAGAAAGGGTGGGAACCACTGGTCTAGAAGTGACCGTAAGCCATTGGTTTAGACACCTCATTTATTAAATATTTTGTATTGGGAAATAGTCTTTCAGGTCCATATTTTGCATTTATGGTTGTAAATATTGTTTTATGAAATCTGTATATTGCAAACATTGGCTTTTTAAATTATTTACATATTTTCTGAGAAAAAAAGTGTAAAAGACTTGTACATTTATTATGTATATGCTGGTAGTTTAAGACCCATAAGGCAATCACAATATTAAACATGTGTACAAAGAACACCGAGTGTTGTCTGTCAATCATCTCCTCTTGGTCCACACCGTCCTCAAGTCCACGAGGGCTCCCAGCCGGTCGCTACTCCCTGGACGGGGAGAAAAGTTCCAGGCGAGAGCGGTGCAGGGTCCGGGCCCACCAGGGGCTCAGCCCCAGAGTTTGCAACCGGGTACCTGATACCCGTACCCGGCTACCCGTACCCGGCTGGGTACGGGGTAGCCGTTTGCGACCTTGGTGCAGCTGGGTACGGGTAGGCCGTGAGTCACTGGTGAGTCACTGTCACTCATTTCGGGTAGGGTACGGGTAGGGTACGGGTAGGGAACGGGTACCCGTACCCGGCTGGGTACGGGTACCCATTTGCGACCCTGGTGCGGCCGGGAACGGATACGGGTAAGGAATCAAAACCCGTTTGCGACCTCTGCTCAGCCCCCTGCTACAACGTGGACGGGGGGGGAGGCTATGCAAGATCCCATTGTGGGGACCCCTCTTGGTGCGTGTCGGTAGCCGCGGGGACATAGAAGCGCAGTACAACAATGGGATTGTCCCGTGTCGCCTTCTGCTGCTCGCCACGTAGCCCCGCAGCAGCCTGCAGGGCACCGTGGAGGTGGTGGTTGGTGGTGGTGGTTGGTGGTGGTTGGTGGTGGTTGTTGGTGGTGTTGGTGGTTGGTGGTGGTTGTTGTTGCCCATCTGGACCCCGTCCAGGAGGCAGCAACCCGCCCTGGGGCCACGCGCTCGTGGGCATTCCACGTTGCTATGGCGAGGTAGAGTCCATCCCGTGGGACGTCCATCCAGTGGATGTCAACGACAAAGTTGTACACATTTTATCGACCCCATCCACCGGCTAAGATAAATGATTGGCCAAGTGGAGCCTGGAGCAGGAGTTGAACTTGAGCGTTGCGAGTTGGGCGCCTGGCTCACGCGAGGCGATGGACAGCGACTGGAGAATCCCAGCGCGTGGAGGCGACCACTCCCGTGTGGGCGCATCGCTCCTGCTGCTGCTCCTGCTGCTGCTCCTGCTGCTGCTCCTGCTGCTGCTCCTGCTGCTGCTCCTGCTGCTGCTCCTGCTGCTGCTCCTGCTGCTGCTCCTGCTGCTGCTCCTGCTGCTGCTCCTGCTCCTGCTGCTGCTCTTGCTGCTGCTGTGGTTCGTCTCCGTCTCGCTGCGTCTCCCTCCGAGTCTCTCTCTGTCTTTCCTTCCCTGCGTCTCTCCATCTCCCTGTGTGCCGTGTCTCTCGCTGTGCCTGCATCTCTCTCCCTGTGTCTTTCAATTCCCTAGCCGGGTCTCCGTCTCCCCCCCCCCCCGTGTCTCTGTCTCTCTCCCCGTGTCTCCCCCACCCCGTGTCTCCGTCTCCCCCCCCCCCGTCTCCATCCCCCCCCCCCACCGTGTCTCCGTGCCTCTCCCTCGCCCAACTCCTCGGCTAAAGCGACCCCGAGCCCCTTACTCAGCGAGACGGCCGCGACAAGAAGTCAACATCCGCCCGGAGGACTCGAACCGAACACGGAAACGACTGCGGCGCGTACAGACACACGGCGGGGAAAATTGTGAGCGGTAGACGCGGGGTACAGGCGCTTATATACGGGGGGCGGGGGCTTTGGGAGGAGGCGGGGCTTAACTGCGTGGGCGTGGCTTGTCTCGCTAGGGGAGGGGCGTCGTGGCGAGGCGTGGCCCATGGCCGCCGGTGGACTTCAACCGTGGAGTGGCAGCCACAGGGGGGGGGAGGGGAACGCGTCAGGGAGAAGTTCGCCGTGGAGACGGAGCGGTGAAGACGGAGCCGTGGATTCCGCTCGCGTGCAGCGAACACGCGGCGCGTGACGTCACCACTCGCAGCCCTGCAACTCGCCCCTCCTGCTCCTGCTTCCCCACCGCCTCAGTGTGTGTGGTGGTGCTGGGGTGGAGGGGTAGAGTGTGGGCACCCCCACCACTCACACCCACGCCTCTGTGTGTGTGGTGGTGCTGGGGTGGAGGGGTAGAGTGTGGGCACCCCCACCACTCACACCCACGCCTCTGTGTGCGTGGGGGGTGAAGTTTGACCATACTTCACCACGCCGGTCTCGAAACGCGCACCGAAAAGGGGTGCTGAGACGCAGAACGGTGCCAGCTGCATGACGGAAACAGCCGCGGTGCAGCGCTGGAGTCGTCACCAAGGCCGGTTAGAGCCGCTCCTGCCAGCGGGTGGGGGTCGTGGGCGGTAGGAGCACCTTTGTCGGCCGGCACACACCCATACCTCTTGAAAGTCTCGTACAACCGTAAGTTTCACGCACAGCGTACAGCGTACAACATAACACAGTACCAGCCAGACTGGTTTATAACCGCTTTTCACGAAAGGTGCAATTTGCAACTTGCCTCGGTGCGTCCAGTGGGGGTGAAGTAGCTACGTTGCTTCACCCCCATTGGACGCAGCCTCTATATAAGACGAGAGCGCGCTGCCGCCCTCCGCACCGTCCCCAGTCGTCAAGGCGCACGGCTTCTGTGCCGAGTGCGAGGCTGCTGCTGCTGCTGAGCGGACGTGGGGAAACAATTCACGAGCTGTGGGTGAGTACTCATCAAAATCACAACCTTTATTGATCCTGCACACAAAGTGTGAATAGATCCGTCTTGAAGGTGTTCATGGCATCGTGGTGATATTTGCCGTGTTCTATTCTTCATATCTGTTCGAAAACATGCAGAACACGTTTGAATAAACGCATTTAATGCATCATCAATTATCGACAATATTTTTCGATTTAAAGCTTTCGTGGCTGCAGGGATTCATCTTCTTGGTTCTTTCGGTAAAGTCACGTAGAAGGGAAATAATAAAATGTAAAAAACACAATAAAATACAGTTCTCACGACGTTTCGGCTACAACGCAAGCAGCCCTCCTCAGGTGAAGAACATCGCCGTCTCTTACAAGAAGCGTGTTCGCGTTATCAATTACACCTTCAACAGTGCAGTTTGTTGCTGGCGGCTTGGCATTTCAGGCCTCTCTGCCTGTGCTCCGCATCCGTAGTAAAGACACATTTATGTGTTTCACTGATGTCTGTGCTCTATTGCTGCTCTACCAAACCGTCTGTCCCCTCATTGGAAAGAATTCCGGCTCACCCTACCCAACTATAACCACTGGTGGTGAGTGGAGCGAGAGATGTGATGAACCACTCTCTTCTGTGTTCATCAGGAGACGGAGGCACCATGAAGTGGCTCCTGTTCACAGCGATCATCTCCCTCCTGGGTGAGTTCACACCGAGAAGCACTCGCCCAGCACACGTGGAGCGGTCTCCTTCAGACCCCTTTCCCACTAGCACAGTCGAGCCGTGCCAGCCCAGAGCCCTGACGGTCCTGGTGGTTTTCCACTGCAGTTTGCTGCACTGAGCCAGAACCAAACCACCATGGCCTCAGGTGCAACATTTATCATTTTCAACATACATGCGACTCGTTCACGGCACGGTTCAGCCTCTGCAGTGGAAACACAGCCTGGCCCCCTCCTGAGCTGCGCCGCATCGGCTTGGCACAGTCCCAGCATGGCTCAGGTGTGCAGTGGAAAAGAAGTGATGTTTCACCAGCTGAGAGTCCAATGGAGGCCGTCATCACGATGACGTCGTCACAATGACGTCATGGCGATGGGATCCCAGTGCCAGGGCCCCCGTGTAGCCGTGAGCGTCGGTGCCTCCCGTGGTCGCGCTGCGCAGGAGACACTGACGGTGAGGGAGGCAGTCACGCTCACTCACGAGCTCAGTGGTCTTCCTCTGAAATAGCTGATGTTGAATGAAGCAAATTTTAGGTCACTTAAGTGAGCTCGTTTTGTTATTCACTGATACTGGGTCTGTGTAAAGGTGAATGTTACAGCACCGCTGTGTGTAACGCCTGCATCTAAACCCCATCTGGCCCTGCTATTGCTGAGTAAACCTGTTGTGAGCACTTTAAGAACAGTAACCGGTCTCTATCTAGACATCTGTGTTGTCTATAGAGTGATAGAGTTTAGTTGATCTCTCTCTGTGGAGGCATCTTTCATGAGAGTGACCGGTCTCTCTCTCTGTGTAGCTGTGACGTCCACTGTGAAGCTGCAGCTCTTCCTGCCGGAGAGTGTGGATGTGACAAAGGGAGAGAACGTGACTCTTCCCTGCTCATTCTCTTCCCTGTCGACCGACTCGAGTGGCTTCTACATCACGTGGTTCACGATGCCCACAGGCTACGTAGTAAGTAAGCACAGATGATATCATCAATGTGAGAACCTCTTTCCAAGGCAACCCTGAATATTCTACTCAGTTACTGAGAGTAATACAACGTTATTTGGGGTTTGTTTTGTTCCAGAATAATGAAAGAGTCGCTTAATCAGACAGGAATGTCGCACCGAGTCTCAAGACCCAATTTATAAGCAGGTTCCTGCCATTTGAGTTCGTGATGGTTTGGAATCATGTTGAGAGGAAAACGGAGAACCAAGAGAAAAAACCACCACACAAGGGGATGATGGGCAAAGCTCTACACAGACTCAATCCATAGATAGAACCAATCTTTAATGCTATCTGCAAATCAAATCCATGGCTGTACCCAATCTCCTGGCCACCTTGCAGCCCAAGCCTACAACCCCTGGCATCCCCAGTCAAGGTATTAAGTAAGCTCAACCCTGCTTGGCTATCAAGATCCAATTAGTTCAGGTTAATTGTTAATTGATCGTAGTAGAATTGTGGTTCATGTTCCAATTTGTGTTTTGTGCCATTCCAGATCTATGACTCACTTCACGGGAATCTCTGGCCTGGAATAGCTGAGTTTGTGGGAGACGAGGTAAAGGGCGACTGCTCCCTCAGGCTCCTCAACGTCTCCAGCACCCTCAGCCCCGTGTTTAAGTGCTATGTCAGTTGTACCAGCTGTGGGACGGATGACTTGTGGGAGGAACGAGAGGTGAAGCTGAACGTGACGGCTGCAGGTGAATGAGAGGGGAGCGTCGTGCTCACCACACGGTGGCGCTGTGACTCGCATCATCGCTTGTGCAGCTGGTGGTGGGTGGGAGGTCAAGGGTCAGAGATCACAGGGTGGAGGGTGCAGAGCTGGAGAGTGGTCGTTGTACAGAGAGGAGCCTCGGCAGGGAATCTCCCTGCTGCACGTGAAGCCGTGTTGAGTGAGTGGTCTCTCCCTGCTGCACGTGAAGCCGTGTTGAATGAGTGGTCTCTCCCTGCTGCAAGTGAAGCCGTGTTGAATGAGTGGTCTCTCCCTGCTTGCTAGTGAAGCCGTGTTGAATGAGTGGTCCTCTCCCTGCTGCAAGTGAAGCCGTGTTGAATGAGTGGTCTCTCCCTGCTGCAAGTGAAGCCGTGTTGAATGAGTGGTCTCTCCCTGCTGCACGTGAAGCCGTGTTGAGTGAGTGGTGTCTCCCTGCTGCAAGTGAAGCCGTGTTGAGTGGGTGGTCTCTCCCTGCTGCATGTGAAGCCGTGTTGAGTGAGTGGTGTCTCCCTGCTGCAAGTGAAGCCGTGTTGAGTGGGTGGTGTCTCCCTGCTGCAAGTGAAGCCGTGTTGAGTGGGTGGTCTCTCCCTGCTGCATGTGAAGCCGTGTTGAGTGAGTGGTGTCTCCCTGCTGCAAGTGAAGCCGTGTTGAGTGAGTGGTCTCTCCCTGCTGCTGCACGTGAAGCCGTGTTGAGTGGGTGGTCTCTCCCTGCTGCACGTGAAGCCGTGTTGAGTGAGTGGTGTCTCCCTGCTGCAAGTGAAGCCGTGTTGAGTGAGTGGTCTCTCCCTGCTGCTGCACGTGAAGCCGTGTTGAGTCGCTGGGTGGGGCTGTGGTGCTGAGTGCGAGTGAGGGTCACGCTGAGCCCCCCCCCCCCCCTCTGTCTCCGTGTCTCTGCAGCCCCACGGTCACACGGTGGGGGCGTGAGTGACGCCACCCTCGCCCCTCTAGAGGAGACCTCGCACAAGCGAGTCTTGGTGGCTGCCTACGTCCTGGCTGCCGTCATCTCCGCCATCTCCGTCATCATCATCGTTGTCTCCGTCTTCATCTGGCAGAAACACCGTTGGTCTTCAGGGCTCTGCCTCCACTCACGCAGGTGCCCCCTCCAGCCCAGGCACCCGGACTGTCCAGCCCAGCCCCTGGTGAATGAGCGTGGACGTCGGCAGACGGGCTGAGCTCTCTCGGTGGCCTCCCACTCGGTGTCACTGACGAGGTTTCACGTTCACGCACCACCGGGTCTTAGCCTCTTCCTCAGGGGTTCATAGCGGCCGTGCCGGGGACTCTGAGCTAGCACCGAGCTCCTGGGTTCAGCCCCTTGGTCTTGCCGACTCGAACCAATATGAAAGAGTGAGCGCCATTGAGGCCCTTTGCTCGTTCCCGGCGAGATACGTCCACGCGTTCGCTGTGTGCAGGCACCGCGTGGTTGGTAAACCTGCTTTTGTTTTTATTTCCACAGTGACGGCGACTATAAAGACGTGCGTGGGGACATGAACGGGCAGCCGCTGATGAACGGACACGAAGAGAAAAAACAACAAGTATTGGAGACCGTGGACGCTTGATAATGTTCAGGACGGCTCGATGCCGAATCTGATTGGTTGGCACGTGGAGCGGGTCGCACACAAAAACGGCCCGTCTGCTCCGTGTTCCACGTTTTATTTGAAACCTTAGACCATCATGCCTTTGCCATCTCTTGCCTTGACAACCGTAACTCTCAACCGGGTATCTCTCGTGTGTCTCCAACTCCATCACCTCTATCTCCTGGATTTCTCAGAGTGTCCGTGAACGAAACCACATGACTCCAATCCTGAAATTGCTTCACCAGGTTCCGAGTCTATCTGGGGTGCACTTGATAGTGGGCGGCACCACCGTGGCGAGATGTTAACTACCTCGCCTGGTATACAGGAGGTCGTGGGTTCGATCCCGACCCTGACACCTGCCTGTATATTTGGAGTTTGCACGTTCTCTCTCTCCTCACGGTGTCGTGGATTTTCTTTCAGATACACAGGTTTTTTCCTCCACTTTTAGAATCAAGGTGCGTTAAGAGTATTTGGCTGCATTACATTTCCTCATGGTGATAAGCCACTTCGTTAAGCTATCATTTGTGATATCCAGGTCGCTTCTTCAAAAGAGCTACATTGCTCAGCGGGGCCTTACCTGGTAAAATAAATCCAGCAGTGGAACTGCGGAACTAATCTACTGCTGGATTATATTTTCCGCCTGAGGACGACCACTTGTGTTGCGATCAAAACGTCGTGAGATATTATTTTCATTGTTTTATTTTTCTACCTACGTGACTTTACCGAAATAACCAAAGAGTATGGATTCCTGCAGTCACGAAAGCTTCAAATCAAGATCTCTCTCTCACCTGGCTAAACAAATCGATTCTTAATTTATTAAAATCGTAATTATCAATCGTGATAATGGAAGAATCGCGAGGGGGATGGGTGGGGTCTGATTGGCTGACACCTGTGCGTTCGCTCTCATTGGCTGAGCGGCTTGTGGGCGGCAACGTTTCCTCGGCCAAAGCTGCTGCTGCGTTCTCATTCCGTTAAGCGCTTTGTAGTTTTTTAGATTTTTTTTTTTTCCTCAGTAAACATTTTCTCTCCAGGCATCCTACCGGTGGGTCGCGCTCAGTGAGGTCTGCCTGTGGTGTGGATGTGTTGAGAGCAGGGCCGGGTTCTTGTTCTTGTTCGGCCCTCGGCACTTCAGTTTCGTCGGCACTTTGAGTGATGACTCTCTACTGCTGCTGCTGCCCCATGTGACGACCACCGCTGACACTCCACTCGCTTCACGCTTTGCTACGTTCGTCCAGCCGCTGGACAGATGTCGTTACTGCTGGCAGGTTCACGATTTAGTCTGTGCCCTCGTTCGATGGGATGGTGCGGCTGCGTGCCGCAGATAAACGCATTTAATTTTAAATTATTGAAACAAAAATCAAACAAGGTATTCCTAAAAATATTAAAAGCCAACGTTGTTTTAACAATTTTTTTTACTGTGATTACATCGGATGACGCAGGTTCAAAAGGATGCCGTTCATTTTAATCGATAACAAAAAAAAAACATGGGTCCATTTTATTTTCGTAGACCCGAGGCACAGTGCCTCCTGTGACCTATTGGATAACACGGCCCTGGTGGGTGGCTGGGTGGCTGGGTGAGTGGCTGGATGAGTGGCTGGGTGGGCGAGTGGCTGGATGGGTGGCTGGGTGAGTGGCTGGGTGGGTGAGTGGATGGGTGGCTGGGTGGGCGAGTGGCTGGATGGGCGAGTGGCTGGATGAGTGGCTGGATGGAGTGGCTGGATGGAGTGGCTGGATGAGTGGCTGGATGAGTGGCAGGGTGAGTGGCAGGGTGAGTGGCTAGATGAGTGGCTGGATGAATAGCTGGGTGGGTGGACCCTATGCAAAGTGCCTACCGTGACCTATGGGATAGCACGGCCCTGCTCGAGTGGGCCGGTGAGTGGTGCGTTGCTGGTGCAGCGCGAGAGAGCGCTGTGGGGGGTCTGCGTGTGACTGTACTAAGGGGGGGTCTGCGTGTGACTGCACTAAGGGGGGGGGGTCCCCATGCGTGGCTCCCCCACGCGCAGTGCCGGGTGGCCCTCTCAGCTGCGGCCTCTCTCGCGCCTTCAGAGGGACCTCGCAGACGTCCTGGAACGTCTGACCTCAAGTACTTCGCTCGGTGATATGAAATATCGTTGAATATTTTATACACTGTTCTTACAAAACTCGGGGCCATGTTTTAAACATGGAATGTTTTGCCTTTTTGTATCGATTCTGCACCCCTCGTGTTCTTGTTGTTCGTTGTGAGTTGATATCGACTGGCCGTGCTGATCGCAGCTCGTCGGGTTCCTCCGGTCTCAAATCTTCTGATTGTGCCATTTACTGTAGCTAAAGACTTGTTTAGAGTCGTTCTTTGTGATCCTAGACTCGCACTGTACCTGAATGTATTCTGTAAATAAAAACACGAACATGTTACGTTCTCTGTCCAAGGGCTCAAGCTCCCCTCATCCCACCTCGTCACTCCTCACTCGCCCTGCTCACCTCGTCACTCCCCACTTCTCGTCGTCGCCTCCTCCCTCCTGTCTCTCTCTCTGTCTGTGTCTCTGTCTTGTCTCTCTCTCCGTCTCTCTCTGTCTCTTTCTCTCTGTGTCTCTCTCTGTCTGTCTTTTTCTCTGTGTGTGTGTCTCTCTCTCTGTCTCTTTCTGTGTCTCTCTGTCTCTTTCTCTCTGTGTGTGTCTCTCTCTCTCTCTGTGTCTCTCTCTGTGTCTTTCTGTCTCTGGGCGGAATTCGTCCGTCAGAGCCACCCTCAGCCAGAGGTGGAAATTCCACATTCCATGTCCCCCTTTAGAGCAGCGGTCCCCAACCTTTTTGGCACCAGGGACCGGTTCCGTGGAAGACAATTTTTTCACGGACCGGGGAGGGGGGGTCATCATTGGGTCTTTCCCCCTTTTCAAAGAAGCTCTCCAGCGACGTTTGTTTTGTACTCATTGTGGCTACTCGGGGTTAGCAGCTTGTGGGCTCACCAACACTGTGACTGAGACAAGCGCGCAGTGCGGGAAAGAGGCGCGGATGGAAGTGGTGAATAACACTGGTCAACACACTTTTTCTGGCATAAAGTATTCCAACGGTTTTCATGTAATTTTGGGGTGCTGATTCCACATATGGCATCAGTTTTTGTCTATCACATCAGGTTTTTGAGATATCAAATATTGCATTTTCAAGAAAAAACTGCAGCAGAAAAATATTAAATAAATGTGGATATCTACATAAAATGATATTATAAACACACTATCCTAAAAATACAGCACCATATTTTAACACTAAAGCAGTCACTGACTCGCAACAACTTGCAATCATAAGTGACAGTTAATTTCGGGTAAAATCAATGAAAATGGGGAATGCCGATAGCATAAAATGAGATGTGATAGAGCAAATCTGAGATCAGATTTGGAATCAGCACCCTGAAATTAGTCTAAAACAGCTGCAAAAGTCCAGGCCAGAAAAAATATTTTCTTTGTTGACCAGTGTATAATAAAACAATGGCGGCAGGTCACGTGCAGACTCACCGCTCTCACCTCCTGCTGCTGTGCGACCCGGTTCCTAACAGGCAACGGACCAGTCCAGGTACGCGTCCCGGGGGTTGGGGATCCCCCTGCTTTGAAGGACAGACAACTCCCGACTGCACACACCGTTGATAACTCTATCATTCATAATATAGGTTTTTGGGTCAGATCGCGTTATTTATAACTGTGTCGTAACCCTCCACCACCCGACACGGCCAATCAGTAAAAAATGTGTCACTTTTTCAAAGGACAAAATAATTCACTTCTTTAGCCCACCGGTGTGCTGAAGAGAGAATCAACAGCATTTTAAAATTTGAGTAGCACGACGTTTCGCTGATAATTACAATCAGCTTCATCGGGCAAGAATGGTGAAGCTCTCCTGTTGCTTCCGGTCTTAAATAGAGCAGCATCAGGGTGACGTCATCATTTAATTCAATTCAATCTGGTGCAGTTGAAGTATGGGAATTGACGGCAGGAACTTCTTGACGGGTAACACACTTTTATTAAATCCTTTAGGTATCACAATACAACGTGTGGTCTCTCTTCTTCCTCCGACACACTCCACTAATCTCGTGTAAGCTCTAGGCCTCTGGCTACACCCGATACACTTGACTCGTGTAGACCCTATGCCTCTGGCTACACAATACACTCGACTCGTGTAAGCCCTATGCCTCTGGCTACACAATACACTCGACTCGTGTAAGCCCTATGCCCTGGCTACACATAGTACATTCGGCTCGTGTAGACCTATGGCTACACCCACTACACTCGCCTCTGGGTTACACAGAGTCCCGGTCCCCTTAGGACAGCGGGGCTAGGTACCGCAGGGCTCTAGGTCTTCATCCCCGTCTTCCTTCTTCGCTGGTTACACACTGCCCTTACGCCTGTGTGCATCCCCTTTTATAGCCCCTGCTCACGAGGGACGGAGCTGATGCGGCGTCGACGTGAGCGTCGTTCCTTAATGACCCAATCACGACGCACTCTCTCTACGATCCGCTTTCCCCAGCGCGTGTTAACATTACTCCACCAATCACACTGCGCTGCCACCTGATCACTCCCTCTCAGCGCGTCACCACCTACACAGCCAATCATCACGCACTGTGCATACGATCCTTAATCCCAGCGCGTATCACCTCTACATCACCCCCTCCCACATAGCTTGCAGCCGGCCCGGCTGTTAACCTACAACACAACATAACGCAACGCAGTAATAAAGAACTCCACATCCCAGTGTGCCCCGTAACACAACAACAACAACATAACACAACCTTAAATATGAAGCAATATACAGCCCGACGAACAACACAATAAAAGCGAACACCGTAAAACGAACGCGCCAAGTGTCACTGTGACCCACGCAGTGCCGAGGCGCTCCGGCTGCCTCGACTCCGCACGTGGTAGGTTACACAAAGTAGCGCGACCTAGCGCGAGTCCGTCTGGCCGGTCCGTCGTATGGAACGGGACGTTGGCGACCGTCCGGTGTCTCCGGCAGCTCTAGACGGCACGGGTCGGGCCTGGAAGGACCGGCCCCGCCGTGAAGATCCGGCCGCCGGTGGTCGGCAGCAGTCAGTTCCGAGACACCTGGGAGCGGATCAGGCGGAGACATGTGAGGAGCAGGCAAGGACAATTCCCCCTCAGGGTCGTCGGTCACGTCACATGCTCGGCCCTCACGACACAAGGGGAGGCCATACGGAGGCGAGAACGGTTTCAGTCGGGAGGGGTGGACGTACCAACGGCGTTTCCCCCATTTTATCTGAACGCACTGGGGGCGTGCCACCCGCACGACCTCCACGGGTCCCCGCCACGGCTTCAACAATTTAGGCGACGTGGCCAAAGGTGCCTGAGGGCAATGCAGCCAGGCCTTGTCACCTGGTTCCCAATTGTGCACGGACACCTTCCGTGCCCGCAACCGCTCGTTCGCAATTTGGCGAGCCCGCGAATTAAGCCGTGCGGCCTCCCTTGCCTCTGTCAGTTTATGAATATTAAATTTAATATGCTCTGCCAATTTAGAATTAGTTCGTGGTGCGGGCAGACCCAGCTGCGTTTCCATGGGCGGGTCGGCTTCCCGACCGTACATTAGAAAAAACGGGGAAAACCCCGTAGCTGCATGGGGGGCCATTCTATACGCGGCAAGGACCCCAGGGACCTGCAGGTCCCAATCAACATGCGACTCACACACCTGCTGGCACAGCATAGAGGTCAATGTCCTGTTAAGCCTCTCCACCATCCCGTCCGTCTGCGGGTGGTACGGGGAGGTACGCACCTTTTTGGTACCCAACAGGTCGCACACCTCCTGCAGTAATTTACTCGAAAAATTTTTCCCTTGGTCAGTCAGCAAGCGTTCGGGAGCCCCCTTGTCCAGGACGTAGCCCTGGACAAAGGCGTCCGTCACAGCCGCCGCCGACTGGTTGGCGAGTGGCCACGCCATAGGCCACCGGGTAAAATATTCGACCCCCACCAACAGGTACTTATTACCCCTAGGCGTGACCGGAAAGGGCCCCAGAATATCGAGTGCAACGAGCTCGTTAGTGCGCGAGACCTGAATAGATTGCAGCGGTGGATTAGCTGCCACGGGCGGTGGTTTCCGTCTGGCGCACTCAACACAACCCTTCAGAATATTCACCACGTCACCCCCCATTCCCGGCCAATAATAGTCACGCTGAAGCAGGGCAAGCGTTTTGTTAACTCCCAAATGCAAGAGGCGTTCGTGTGCGGCCAAGACAACCTTCCCCCTCACAGCAGAAGGCACCACAATCGCATGCCGCCGGGACAAACTGTCCCATCTCATCAACAGGCCCTGCTTAAGCTCGTAGGAGCCAGTTCGGTCGTGGCTACCTTCGGAACCCTCCGTCTTTCGGCGCAATGCCAGCAGGGAGCTGTCCGCCATTTGGAGACGGCCCCACTCAATCAACGACAGTGAGAGCAGCGAGTCCTGACCCCCTGGGGTAGCGGGACCATCCCCAATTGGTGTGCTCGCGGTCGCAACCAACGCCTCCCTACCTTCCGTAACCGGAGGTTTACAGCGCGCCGATCCCGATAAGCACGCACATTTGTGACAAGGCAACAACCGCGACAGGGCATCGGCATTCGTGTGTCGCAACCCTTTACGGTACGTAGTCGTGAACTGATAGTCCTGGAGGACTTCCAACCACCGCGACAATTGGCCCGAGGGCTGGGCAACCCGTA